TCAGTTTTATTTTAACTAAGGAATATGATGATGGAATGAAACCAGATGTTCCTATAAAAAGGGGGAAAAGCGCAGAGTTTGGGGGGGCACACCTACATTTTATACAGCAACAGCTAAAAAGAGATAAGCAATTTTGGATGGAGCTAATAATTCCAGTCTGGAGATTTCAGGAGGAGAAAACATGAAGGACTGTTCTGTTTTTTCCTCTTCTCCTCCACCTCTCCCTCCTCCTCCGCACCTCCTCCTGATCCTCCTTTAATTCACAGTGTGCACTGAACCTATTACAGAGAAAGGAAGCAGAGGGAAGTAGGGCTACCATAACATGCAAACCAATAGCCGTAACTATCACATCCCAGGTATTTTTGTCTCTATCCTCAAGTCATTTCAGTTTGGTCAACCGCCTTCACTCCAACCTGCTTTCTAGGCTGCCTCCCAATTACAACTGGTTCCCCAACAAGCCTGGTTTCCCCATGAAACAGGACCCACCCCTTATTTCAAGGATAAAGTCAAAGAGCAATAAGGAGATGATCGTGGGGGCCTCAGAAACCAAAGACCTTCACCCTGCAGCCCCAGTGCCAGATCCAGCCACTGTCTCACTATCTGCACCTGTGCCCAGGTATACAGGAGATGGGAAGCCTCTCTGCAGTATCTGATCCTAGAATATAATTACATACTTCATCTTTGAGAACTGTCACCCTCTGCCCTAATCAAGGCACTCTGACTCATGATCAATTAGAGTGACATCAAACCTAAAATTCTCACCAGGATTACAGTCTACTATCTTGCAAGGTGCTATATATACCTTTACAGGCAACCAAAGCAGGAAAATATGAGCCAAAATAGGAGACTTAGGAACTAAAGCTTTCAGTTATCCTCACCAAAATTCTCTAAAACAAATGGACAATTTCCACTGGGAAATTCACCATAGCAGAACATACAACTTCTTACCCCTAGTCAGAGTGCCTGGGGGGTTACCGTGAAATTCTCTGCAATGAATAGCCACAGGTTTGTTATAATGAGATTCATCTTAGTGGCTGCAAACACATTTGCTCTTCCTACCTTAAATCAAGTTATTTCCAAATGAACCACTGGGCCCTCCGCACAGAAGACCTGTAAGGCATGGAATGGGTGGCGGGGGGAGGGGTACGGGGATCTCCCACTGCCTTTCTATGGCACAGCACCTCCAAGTCAGACATACCATTCCTGCCCTTCATCAGCTGACTTGGTGAACACAGACAAGTGTGGGCATCTCAAAAAGCATGAGCGAAGACCCTGTACATCCGCTGGATCTGGTACAGAGGGTATGACCTGGGAAGCATACGACACAGTGGACAGGGGATGACACTCCAAGCAGCCAGTTCCCTGAGAGGAAGAGAACCCATTTGTTAGCTCTATTAGATCAGCAAGAAGGAAAAGGCAGAATCATATAAAATGTAACATCACATTTTAAATCAGATTAGCATTTTCAAAAAAGGTTATGGTATCCACTGCAGAAGAGAGTGCCATAAGAAAATAAAATTATCTCCCTATGCAGATGTAGCTTCCAAGAAAAATAAAACACATTCAGAGTGGGCTGGTGACTCGCCACCATCTTTTACACCGAATCTGGGTTATCTAAGGCATTTCTTCCCTAAGACCTCCATCTACCCTATTAATAACTGGATAAGGTTATCCCACCCCCACTGAGTCAGAGGGTCCTACAAATGTAAATAAAATCATTCTTTTTACTTAACTGATCTTTTCAAGCCCATCTCATTAAAGACCAATAAGAAGCAGTGAGTGTTCAGAGACCAGTGACGTTGTATATAGAAGTGCTTACTGTGACTTTCTGCAGCCGATAAAAAAATGTGTAAGTCTCAAAAAGCATAATGCACAAATAATGCAAATCGACATTGAATGTGCGTGTGTCAGCTCCAAGCAGGTCCCGTCTGTTTTCTGAACAATCTTCCTTTTTCCCCCCAAATCTGGCTCTTACAGAGAGCAGAGACATACCCCCTAAACTTTAATGTGTATACTAATCACTGGAGGACCTAGTTTAAATGTTGATTCTGATTCAGTTAGTTTAAAATGAGGTTCACAATGCTGAATTTTTTAAAAAGTTCCCAGGGTGATGTTGATGTTGCTTCTGGCTCTTTTGGAAGGACAGAAGTCTACAGGACTAAGTTCATCTGGCCTGGAACTAAGACTCCTCCCTTGAGGAGTGCTGACATTTCTATGAACAACAATAGCTAAGAGTTTACTGGGTAATTAGACAAACTTCTAGGAACCTGACATGTGTTAACTCATTTAACTTTCCCAGTAACTCATTATAATCATCCTTGTTTTACAGAGAAGGAAACTGAGTCGTGGAGTAATGAAACAGTATTTCATTGAATTCTGAAACAGTATTTCAGAACTGGTGAAGGAACTAGGATGTGAACGCAGAAGGCATCATTCCCAAGCTGCCCAGGAACCTACTACTTACACTGAGCCCCAGTAAGAAAAAGCAAAATATTTTAGGAAGTTGGATATTTAGAAAGGAAGAGGAGTGAGATTAGGAACTTCAATGTGGTATGAAAGGTAACTCAGACCCTACAGAAGCCAGTGTTCCCCTATGGCCCCCACCAGAGAGAATATAAAGTAGTGAGTTATATGTCCAGCAATCAAACATGGTGTATATTAAATTTTCCAGCCGGGTTTCTCTAAACACCTTAGCAAATGCTCTCTGAAAACTGCCACCACAGCCTGCATGCCGTAAACCACTGCAAAACTTCCAACGACAGGGTCACAAAGAGACCATTGGGATCGGGCTCACTGCCAAGACATTGAATATGAGGCTGAAATCAACTCTCTGGGCATTCCTTTGATGCACTTTGGTCCATTTTGGCCACAGACAGGGAAAGGGAGGAGTAAAATCTAGTCACACCTTGCACTCGCACTGCCTGGCAGAAAGGCGGTGTCTTTGCAGCGCAAGAGAAAAACGTGAGCAGAGGCGACCACGTGGTGTAGAAAACGTGCTTCATCTCCCAGTCCCAGGAGCCTGGGCCCAGCCAGAAGTGCCCCGAGGTGCAGAACCCTGGGGGATGGGGAACCGAGCCTCAGGGAGTTTTGTGGCACTGCCCCAGGTGCCCGCGATAGCAGCCAGAACACTTTGCTACCCGCAGAGGGTGGAGGGGAGGCTTTGTCTACCGCCTAGAAACCTGAGGGCGCCAGTCAGAATAAACACGCCCCAAAGAGAGGGGTGCTGAGAAGCAGCACCTGGTGGGTGGGGCAATTTTGAGAATTGTAGAAGGTGGGTGAGGGAGGGGCTGGGCTGGGCTGGGGAAATCAGGAGGGACCTGGCAGAAGAGCGTTTGCAGCCGCATTAGACAACACAATGAGATCTTTCTGCTTTGTGCAGCAGGACTGCAGGAATCAGACCCTTCAGCCTCCTCAGTACCCCACCCAGGAGACATTTAACTTGGTACTGTAAGGCCCCCATCACCCCGTGGGGGTGGGAGGGGAGCACGGGGAGGAAAGAGCAAACCCAGCCTAGGGTGGCTGTGGGCGGCCGCCAGCAGCAGCAGGAAGAATATCTGCTTAGAGATGCTCCTTCGCTTCTAATGATGGGTGCTGCCTAGAAGCTCATGGGCCAGCCAATCGCTGGGCTGCTGAGGCAGGGGACTAGAGAGGAAGGCGGGGGACCAGAGCCTGGGGTGGGGGCAGCAGGGACAAGCCCAGGAGCTGGAGGAAGAGGGCTGCCAAGTACCTCCCTGATACTAGAGACCCAAAGTGGCTCCAGCTGTCTCCCTGCTGCTGCACACCTGGGGGATGGGGTTTGGGAAGGGGGAGACAGGGAAGAAGAGGGGCCTCCTTTGCAGGTGCATCCTTCCCAAGAAATCTCTCTCCATAGAAGCATCAGAGTCCCCTGTCTCCATGCCTGACCCCAATTTAACACCACCCTGCTGGCTTGCTTCCTACTAATCCCCCCTCACCACCCCGCAACCTCCAATTCCTAAAGATTTTGCCAGACACCCAAATCCTTCGTGAAGAACAAGGCAGTGAGATGCCTAATCAGCAGCTTGCATTTGGAGCACTTGATTAAGCCTGCAAAGAAGCTCCTTCCATGCCCGTTCACCCTGACACCGCACCATCAGAGCCGCCCCCATCAGCTTTTTGTAGAGAGCATTCCTTCAGAGCAGGGCAGACTGCTCGCACACCTCTGGGCTCAGCTGATGCGGCTCTCAGCTGATGAATTCATACCCAGCAGATCCACCTGGCTCCTGAGCATTGGGCTCAGCTGGGTCAGGGACGGGAGAGGACCCAACCCAGGACTGAGGAAAGCATGGGCCCGAAAGAAAACTGCAACTCTGAGCTGTTTGGGCCGTGTCATTAGATTTTGTCTCCTCTGACATGCCCATTCACTCCACTTTCAGTGAAACTTAAACTCAGTCCCTGGAGTTAGCTGGATGCCCAGGCAAAAGCCTGCTTCCTGTATCCATTTCTCTATGTCTGCATGGCTTTGGCCCAGTGCTCTTGAGTGTTCTGAGCTGATCCATCCCCTCCTAGAGCTTCAACTTCCCCACAGGCAGATATTGCAGGTGTACCCCCAGCTGGGGGAGGAGGTGATGGCTTAAAGGGAGGTAAAGGGAGAATTGGCTAAGAAAGCCAACCCTGAGGTTAGGGGCAACCCATTCGGTGTAGAGTGCAGCTTGTGGAAAGCCTGGGGGGCCTGGAAATCAGACAAAGCCTCGCCCAGAAAGGGGCAGACACTGCACCACCACACACCCAGGGACTCCAGCGATTTCCACATAGGAAAAACCAAAAACCAAATGTCTTACCTTGAAAAACACTTTAGTGCCCATACCAGTTTCTATAGCACACTTGCCCCTTAGATGCACCAAAGTAAAGAGTGCACTTCAGCAAAGGGGCAAACCGGCACCAGGAAGGGGATGGGTGATAAATTCCATGCTAGGTTTCCCCCCTCACCCCCAAGAAATGCAAAGGGGCAGAAGGGAGTTACGGTGGGCAAGAAAGGATATGGCCAATCGATGAGCTTCTTGGCGTATTTCCTGACAATGTTATCTTCTCCGAAGATGAACAGGGATCTGTTGACGGTGAAACAGTTCTGCCGGACAGGAATGGGATTGTACAAAGCCATAGTCCGCGCCCTCTGCGCTTTCGACTGCTTGTAGGCGGCCGCGGGCCCTGAGGCCGGCACCGGAGTTCCTTGCCGGTTCCGGCTCTGGTCTGAGTCTCCATCGCCCGACCCCGGCCTGGCGACCACCGCCTCCCCGAAGCGAGCCATCCTGAAGTTTAAACAGACAGAAGACACACAGAGGTGATCGCGGCCGGACACCCGCGCACAGCGACAAGCAGAAAGACACACGGAGGCTCAGAGGCGCATCCAGACCGGCCCCAAGACCACCGCCTCGGGGAGCCCCGCGAGCTCTTCGGAGCCGACGCGACAGCAAGCCCCGCCGCTCTGAACTGTTGACTCTACATACACCCTCTGCGAAGCTCCATTTCTCAAGGAGGAAAGAGAGGAGAGGGAGGGAGGGCTTGGGGGTGCTCAGTTTCTGGAGGCAATTTTTTTTTTTTTTTTCCAAAATGTCAGTGTGTGGTGGCGTTCAGGGACTGAAGAGGGGTGGGGTAGGCTGCTGCTCAAACATAGCTCCTCTTCTGGCAGACGCACCACCTAGTTCTGGGAGAGAGGCAAGCACCGGCCCGCTAGGTAACAGTTGGGTGATTTATTGGTGGGGGGAGGGGAGCAACGAAAACAAAAGAACTTAAAAAAAAAAAAACCCGCAAGGACAGGGTTACGATGACATGCTTTACAACGCCAGCCCCTGCAAGTCCATTTAAGAAATTCCACCGTCAAGATGTGAGTCTTTAAACCTGCCAGCACAGATGCATCCAAAAGGGGGGTGGGGGGAGCGGTATGGAGGTTCCTGCGTAAACCGCAACGCCCAAAATCTCAAAATAAGAATTCGATCCAACCGGAGAGGGACAAATGACTTCAAAGCGCCAGCGCTTGGGATAGAAGTTGAGCAGCATCCAGAGAGCAGCGAAGCCGGCGCGGCAGCATCTTCCCGGAGCGCTCGCCGCCGCCTCCCGGGTTCAGCCGGCAACGGGGATCCGCGGCTGCGCCGGCCACAGGGCGGGAGCCGGCGGGCGACCCGCGGGCTCGCGGGCGCGGGAGGAACAGGTTGCAGCGGAGCCTCGCGGTGGCCTGGCACCGGAGTTGTCCAAAGACCGAACTTGCCCACTAACGACTCGGTCCTCCTCGCGCACCCGACAGCCCGGCTCCAGGGAGCAGGGAGAGGCCGGAAAGGAGAGGCGGGGAGCGAGCAGGGGCAGAGCGAGCGGAGCGCAGCAGCGCAGCCGGGCGCTCACTGGAGCGCCGGAGAAGCGGGGGCGGGGCCGGCGGGGCCGGGAGGGGCGGGGATGGAGCCGGAAGGACCCTGGCCAACCTTGGCTGGAGGTGCGGGGAGGCGATGCTAGGCTGGCTGACCCGGGTCTGTAACCGGAGCGGGTAACCGGCCGCCTCTGCAAAGGTCCGCTAGTCACGCCGAGAGGCGCGCGGTGGCCACAGCTGGTGGCGCCGCGGAGTCTCTGCAAGAGGACGGGCCCGGCGGGGGCGCGCGCGCTCGCACTCGCGCCTGCCGTCCCTGCCGAAGGGCGCCCACCCGAGCTGTGCTCCGCGGGGTGCGAGGTGCGCTGCCCAGCCCGCCGCCGCCCCGGAACGAAGTAGAGGCCTTGGCGCTCAGCGCACCAGGTCTGGATAGCCACTCCCCCACACCTCCCAGGCTCCATGAATGCTGTCCATGGGTTCCTGCAGACAGCAGCACCTTCTCCCCACTTAGCAGTCAGGAGGCCTAGGGAAGATGCCAAGGACTTCTGGGGGCTCCATACTCTGCTTTTGGTGCCAGCTCCAGGCAGGCATCTACCTCCCTATCCAAATGGGGAGACCTGGGCAGCCTCTTGGGTTTGCTTTCAGCAGAACGCCCCTGTACATCCACTCTTTGAAGGGTGAGCTACTCCTGGGTGGTCCTAGACACTGGGGCTCTAGATGAAGTTCTGGCTTAAACTACTCTTTCACAAAATCCTAACAGAGGGGTCCTCCAACCTCTTTTACCCCCAAATCGGCTCCACTGACTTAGGCAAACCCAACCACTTAATGAAGAAAAACAATTAGTACCTGAGCTACAGAGATGGGGCAGGTGGACTTCAAGCCAGAGCCGCTAGGTTTCAGGGACCAAGCCCTTGCAGAGGTTTGAACTGAGGACAGGTGCCGCTGTCCCCTTCCAAGTCCACACCATCCTCTGCTCTCTCCTGTGTTGGCCACAACACACTGTCCTTTCTAAATCCCTTCACCTGAGCAATGGAGGAGATGGGTAGTGAGTGGGACTAGGAAAGGAAACAGAGATTGCCCAAGTGTTGGAAATCATGGTTGAGTGTGGCTTCCGGGGCTTGAAAGTCAGTGTCTCTGTATGTGAGATTAACTGGTGAGAAAGGTGGTGATGTCTAAGCAGCAGGTAAGCAGTGGTCAAGGTCACATGCTTTCTTACATGGCTTTCTGGCATGAGAAAGCATGTGAGCATATGTGTATGTGTGAAGGAATCAGTGCTCTGAGTACTGGAAAGCCAAGAGTCAGCCTAGCCACCCCTAGCAGGCTCTGCTGCCCTGGAGGATGGCATGTTGACCTTCTGATTCGGGGGAACCCGTTCAGGTCTAATTCTATTCAAGGTGAGTAGCTCTAACTCGCATTTTGATTTCACCTTATTGTCCTTTCACCTGCCTTCATCAGCAGGTCCTTTTCTGTCTGCATACCTAGTCAGAAGTGGATAAAAAGGTGGTACTATAAACCATGAAGTCCATTAGCCTGTTAGCATTTGGAGCTAGTTACAACTTGCTATCTCAGGAACCCTGTGAATTACAGAGGATTAGAAAGAACTTTTGAAACAATCGAGTCCATGTCATTGCTTTTAGGACCACAGCCATAGCACAAAATTCATTCAAATCACTGATTCGTCCACCAGGTACTGTATTAGGCACTCGGGATATAATAAACAAAACAGATGATGACAAAAATAAGATACTCCCTTCTTAGATTAAATTACATTCTATAACCTTACTGGCTAGAATGTTGAATGGTCCACATTCTCTGACTGCTACTTCACCCCTTCACCTTGTGTCCTAACCTCAGCAGCCTAGAGGGTAGAGTCGATGTGTTAACGCCCAGGACAAGCAGGGCACACCAGCCTTTTACCTTCCAAGAAAAGGTTCTTGGAAGGTCAGGAACTCTGACTTGTGCCTTCAATCTCAACCTCTCAGGAAAGCTAGTCCTAATTCCCTGTGCTCTCTCCGCAGGGTCCTATAGTCTCTGTGGCTGTTGTCCCTCTTTAAAGACCTAGAATCCCTAAGACAGGACACTGCATGTGGAAGTGTGAGGACTCACTGAGTGGAGGCTGGCCTTCCTGCCTTCTGAAGAGATGGGAATCACAGATGCCTGGGTTGGGGAGATGTATGCTGGAGGACAGGACTTCCATAGGGGAGTTAAACTGGGCATTCTTGGAGGGTGCCACCCAAAGGGACAAGGCCAACATGATGATCCAAGTGGCTCTGGATGGCCTTGGCCCAAGGCAGCAACCCTGGGGGGAAAGGCCCACACCCTGCCTGGCTGACACAGCTCTGAGATCTTTAAGATGTAAGAATTTCCTCCCTGCTCTCCAGTACCCCCATTCTCCCAGTTTCTAAAAGAGCTACAATTTTAATGGCTGAATAGTGTCTTATGTGTGCTTTAGTAGTTTTCAGGTTACATAAACCTCACTCTAAACCCCTGGAGTCTCCCTGGTAACACATTATCAATGATCCTGATTTGGTGGACAAAGCAGCAGTTTTCATAAATGTTAAGTAGTTTGTCCACATTTGATTAAAGGTAGAGTGTGGACCACTTGCAGAGCTGATTTTCATTTTAGGATCTTTCTAATATCCAGGCTAATCTCTTCAGGGCAGGAATAGTGTAATTCTAAATGGTTCCTCATCAACAGAAGAAACTGTACAATCACACTAAGCCTATGGGGAGGCTATGCTGACACTCTCAGACTGAATTTGATCTGTGGCCAGATGTTCTGGGACCATTCTGGGAAGGCCCTTAGCCTGGACATTTCACTGCCCTCAAGATCCAGGAGGATCCTTAGAAAAAAAAAAACAAGATCAGCTCACTGCCGTATGCTCTTCTTAGGGAACATTGGTCAGCATTGTCCTTCCAGTGTTCCTAATTCCGCTGTGCTCTTAAAGACCCACAAATGGAAATGTGGAAAATCAGCAGTTGATCGTAACTCTAGAAAAAGGTTTCGGGAAATTCTTACCAGCACAGAAGGAAGTTTTATTTTCCTGTTGTTAGAGCGCCATCTACTGGTCACTTGTGAGCACGTGGCTATGAGCGCAGGTAGCTGGCACCAGTGTTACAGAACCAGACCTCAGTGCCTACATATACACTGCTACAGAGGTGGCCTCTCATCACTAGCCCTCTACTCCCTTGTAAGACTGATATTGTTGAAACCCCAAATTTCACCACAATGCCACCAGCCATCTCAGAGATTTGGAAAGTAGAGCCCTACACGCAGAGGACAAAGTTAGCACACCACGTGCCACACAACATACACACACACACACACACACACACACACACGCATGCACGCACACATGCGCATGTTAATGCAGCTAAATGCTTCATATAAACCCAAACTAGAAGTCCAAAGGGATCTGAAATAAAGTAGGAGAAAAATTCCCTATAATGTTTGTCCCATACAGAGTCCATTTCAAAGCTCTCACCCTCTGTTACAATGTAAGCAGAAGGGTAGTGGCCAGTTGGGGAACTCTCCTGCTACTTCTAGAAAAGGAAATAAACAGGGTAGCCTCACTCCCCTAGGCCAGGGAGGTGAAGGGTATTTGTGTCAAGATGGATAGACATGAGTGGCAAGAGGGGAGAAGCCCTTCCCCTATGCCCCTCACTCATAAAACTCTTCCCAAATACCTAGCCCTGGGAAATCTTCATACAAGATTTCAGCCCATCACTACAATCTATACCTCTCCCAAAAGACATGTGTCCCTCCCACAAGCCCTGCTCCCTCCCCCATTTCCCCATACCCTGCCAGTTCCACTCAGATAGCCTGTGCTTCAGTTATCAGAGCCCCTTTTGTTCTATTTTTCCCCTGTTGAGCTTTTCCAAGAAATAGACTCTTATGCAAAACAGTGCTGTAAGGAACATAACGAAGAGAGGATTTGGGAGGGGTTCTTAAGA